CTGCCTGGGAGATTCAAACGGGGGGGCACAAAACTTTGCTTCTCTATACAGTGCGTAAATGAATCAGGGAAAGTGAAAATAAAAGCACTATCAAGCTCCACTCCAGGTGCCTTGCACAATACAGGGGGGGCGCCACAGGGCCTGCCTCCCCGCTGCCGAGTGCCGAGCCGGGCAGCGCCGGCTGGCGAGCACACGCGCATACGCAAACGCATGGGGAAGCGGGCGCTGGCCACGCCTGCGCCCGCGCCCCGCACGGGCAATTGCCCGCAGCAGCCTGCAGGCGCGGCGGCCCAGCCGGGCCGCTCAAGCGCGCGCGCCGCCGCCGTCCGCCCCGCCTGGGGCCTCACCCCGCGCCCACTACGACGGGCACGCCGCCGACGCTCACGCTGCCGCCGCCGCTGCGCGCGCTGCGGTGGTGCTGCTGCAGCTGCTGCGCCGACGACGACAGCAGCCCGCCGCCGCTGCCGACGCGCCCGAGGGCGCCGCCGAGGCTGAGGGCGAGGCCCGCCGCGCCGCCGCTTGACGCGACGATGCCGATGGCCGTTCCGCCGCCGCCGCCGCCGCCGAGGGCCCCCGCCTTGACCGGCAGCAGCGGCTCCCCCGCGGCCTCGCCGTCCGGGTCGGCCGCCGCCTTGGTCGCGCGCGCGCGCCGCTTCGACTCGGAGTACGCAAACACCCCCGCCACGGTGATCGCGTACCCCAGCAGCCCCCGCGCCGTCACGACGTTGCGGAACAGCGCCACCGACACCGCCGCCGCGATCACGCCCTTCATGTTTCCTAGCACCTGCAGCGTCAGCGCGCTGGTGTGCTTTGTCACCATAAAGTTCGTGAGGTTGACCGCATAGGCGAGGGAGCTGTTGAGCAGCAGCCACCAAAGGAAGCCCGGCCGCGCCGCCACGAGCGCGCGCGTCTGGGCGAAGGCGCCGGGCTCCAGGATGGCGGTGGCCGGCAGCAGCAGGAGCACGCTGAAGCTGCAGGGCGGGCGGGGGGAGGGCGAACAGAGGGGGCGGGGAGAGCGGCCGTCGGCGTCGGCCGCGCAGCTGCCTCGTGCAAAGGCGCGCGCGCAGCCGTGCCATGCCACGTGCTGCATGCAGCCAAAACGGCCATGGGAGCCCTGCCATGCCACTTTCGCACCTGCTCATGTAGAAGAGCAGGCTCATGGGGTCCAGCTTCTCAGTGGGGTCCGAAAGCAGCATGGACTGGCGGGGAGGGGGGGGGGTGCAACGCGGGCGCGGGGGGCGTGGGAAGGGAGAAGCGAGCCCGCGCCTGGGGGGCAAATCAAAACTCCAGCCCGCGCCCCGCTGCCCCGGCTTGCTGCCGCCTCGGCCACGCTGCCCTGCCGCCGCGCCCCCGAGGCCCGCCGCTTGCGCGCACCTGCACCACGCTCTTCAGCGCGCGCGCCGCCGTTGCCAGCACGCACGCCGCAAAGCCCAGCGCGTGGAACTGGGGCTCGCCGCCGCTGGCCACGATGACCCCCAAAACGATGGGGAACAGCGCCGCGTACGTCCCGCGCGACTCGCGGGTGCCTGCGCGCGCGCGGGCGGGCGGGCGGGCGGCAGCAAGCGCGGGCGCGGGTTGGGTTTCGGGGCGTTTTCGCGCGCGCGGGGCGTCGGGCCCTCCAGCAGCGGCAGTCGCGCTGCCAGCTGCAGCGCTCGCCCCATCGCCCCAGCGCTGCGCGCCCCGCCCCTTGCCCCCGGCCCCCCCCCATCCCCCGCACCCTGCAGCGCCAGCGCGAGCACCGCGGTGAAGAAGGGCGTGCCAGACCCCACGGCCTGGCTGAAGCTGACGGCGATGAAGCGCAGGCTCATGTTGCCCAGCACGATGGTGACGCAGAAAATGGAGGCCAGCAGGGACACCTTCCACACCTGGCGCCGCGAGCGAAGCTGCCGGATCGGGAACGCGCCGCTGAGGGAGAGGGCGTAGGCCAGGGAGGAGCAGGCCAGCATGTGGCACAGCGTCAGGAAGACCGGCTGCCTGCGGGGGGGAGGGGAGGGGAGGCGGCGGCGGCGGCGGCGGCGGCGGCGGCGGGAGGGGTTTCAAGGGCCGCTCCGGGCCGCGCGGCGCGGGGTTTCCGCGCAGTTGCTGCCGCATTGGCCCAGCCCGATTCGCCCCCCTTTCCCGCCGCCCCCCTCGGCGCGCTGCAGGCCGCGGCGCCCAGCCCGAGCCTGCGCCGTCCCGCTGCGCCGCCCCGCCGACGGTCCGCGCGCTCACTTGAACCCCGTGTTTGACAGCAGGTGCTTGTTGAGCAGCAGGACGCCCACATTGCTGGTGTACCTGCGGGCAGCAGGGCCAAAAGGCGGGCGGGTGGGCACGCGCGACCCCAACCGAGGCTGAGCGCAGCGCCCGCAGCGCGCGCGCTCGCGGGCCCGCAGCTTGGCCCCGAGCCCCGACAAGCCAACGCCACCCACCATAGGATGATGACCGACAGCGTCACCAGACCACGAGGCCCCATCGCGCTCGCAGGGCCGCGGGGTGCGCGGGCCCGCGCTGAAGGCGCGCTCCTGCCGCCCGCTGCCTTATCAGCAGACCGCGAGGTTCTACTGTACGTATCTGTGGTTCAATTACCCGACGCGACCCGCAGCGGTGCAGTCCGGCCTGGCGGTGGCCAAGCAGCGGCTGGTGCAGTGCGACCGGTGCCCTCGCAAAGTCTAGCGCGCTGGCCTGTGGACGCGGGGTGGCGCGTTGCAGGCACGGGTCGCAATCAAACCGCAAAACGCCGGACGGGGCAAGTGTCACCCGCCGAAACTGCGGGGTGCCGGGGCGCGCGCGCGCGCACCTACCCGCCAACAGCCGGGCCGGCGCCGGCGCGCTGAAGCAAGTCGGGGAGGGCCGATCTTGGTCTGTTTACAATAGGGCAGGGGGGCGACGGGCCATCGTGCGGCGCTCCCTCAAAGCGAGCAGCCGTCTGCACTGCTTCAGTGACACCAGAGGAAGCAACGGGGCAAGGCAAGGCGCAGTTTGGGGGGCCGAAAAGGGACGTGGTGAAGGAGCGGCGGCAGCGCCGGGGGGGGGGCGAAGTGGTCCACCAAACTGCGCTTGCCATTTCGCCTCCACTGCTGCCGCTTCTGCTGGGCAGTGGGGCGAAAAATGCTGGGGGTTGCAAGTTGGGTTTTGCTGGAGGTGGGGATTGTTTGGGGTTGGGGTGTGGGGGCTGCTGGGGGTTTGATTTGGTTGCGTTGGGGGTTGGGGTCGGGTTTGCAAGGGGTGCGCGCAGTTTGAAGGCCGAAAAGGAAAATGAGGCAGGAGCGGCGGCAGCGCCGAAGTGGTCCACCAAACTGCGCTTGCCATTTCGCCTCCACTGCTGCCGCTTCTGCTGGGCAGTGGGGCGAAAAATGCTGCGGGTTGCAAGTCGGGTTGCGTTGGGGGTGGGGAATTTTTGGGTTTGGGGTGTGGGACTGCTGGGGGTTGGGTTGGGTTGAGTTAGGGGGTTGGGTTGGGTTTGCAAGGGGTGCGCGCAGTTTGGGGGCCGAAAATGAAAACGAGGCAGGAGCGGCGGCAGCGCCGGGGCGAAACCGTGCGTGCCGTTTCGACCCCGCACCCTCAAAAACTGCAGGGGCAAGGCGGCGGCAGTGCGGGCGCAAAGTGCTGGGTTGGGTTGGGTTTGGATTGGGTTGCGTTGAGGGTTGGGTTTGCAAGGAACACACACAGTTTGGTTGTCGCTTTCGGGCCCCCCAAAACTGCGTAAGCCTTGCACACCCATGAGGAAGGGGCAGAGAGTCTTGCGCGGCTGCAGCGCCGGGGGCGAAACGGCCCTCGAAAAACTGCTGCCGTGGGGCGCTTTCGCCCGCTCCCCCCGAAACCGAAACCGCACGGGGGGCCAAAGCGTGTTGCCCCGCGCCTGCTGCTTGCGCGGCACACTCCGTGGCTCATCTGGCTCATGCAGGGCAGGCAGCGCAATCGGCGGGCTGAGCCATGCAGGCAAGGAAGCGCTGGTGCGGTGCGTGGAGGGGGCCCCCTGAACACAACCCACCACAACCCAGCCGCTGCTCAACTCCAACGCCGCGCAGAAGTCCAGAAAAGCGTCCCCGAGGGCCTGCTGGCAGCTGCGCACGTGGCAGATGCCATGGTTGACGCCGGCTAGGGCGGCGGCGGCGTGTGCTGCTGCTGCTGACGGCGGCTAGGGCGCGGCGCAGCGCGGCGCAGCGCGGCGCGGCCAGCGTGCTGCGCCGCAGCCAGGCCGAGGCGCTGGCTGGCCGCGTTGGCGCACGCCTGAGTTTCTCTGCTGCCACGCAACAGTCCCGTGCTGCGGGGCGGGCGAGATACACGCGCTGCTGCCGCGGAGGCGAGGTTCATCGCGTCTGGCGGAGGTCTCGCGTCCTTAAGAGCGCCTCTAACCTCGCGTTGGAAGTCTAGACGCAAGTGGAACCCTGCCGGCCCGCCATATGCTGCCCCGCTGCTGCCCAGCTGCCGTCGAGCTGCCCGCCAGCTGCTGCGCGCGCGTGCAGCCATGCTGCTGCTGCTGCATCGCGCCGGCCGGCCGCCCGCCCCCACCAGGGCTCCGTTTGCTGGGTGCGCCCCGCCGCAAAGAGCGCCCTCGTAATCTCAGCGCGCTTGGCTGCGGAGGTTGGAATGGCGGCGGCGGGGGCCGAAGGGTCAAAGCCCGTCCCAAAACTGCCGCACGGGAGTTTGGGGAGGGCGGCACGGCACAGCACCGCCGCTGCACGCCGCCGCCGCCCCAGAGCCAGCGCCACCCCAGCCACTCCAGCACCCGTGCACTAGAGCCGCCCGCCTCGGTGGTGGCGGCCACTGGGGGTGGGCGCTCGGAGGAAGGACGAGGCCATTTCTGCGTTTTTTTGACACTGCAGCAGCAGCAGCAGCGCGCGAAAATCTGTTTTACAACTCGGGAGACCGACCTGGAGTAATGCAGGGGTCAAATAAAATCAGTGAAACGCTTTGCATTCGCATTTGGGTCGGGGACTGAAGGTTGGTGGCAGAAAGAAAAGAACTTGTTGAAGACAGCGCGTTTCGAACCGAGGTGTCACGGGTAGCAAAAGATACCTAGGCCCCAGGCAGATTCGAACTGCCGTTACCAGATTCAGAGTCTGGGGTGATAACCACTACACTATGGAGCCGCTTGTGTCTGCAGGTCGGATGGACAGCCCCCCAACACCCGACAGGGCTTAGCGGGCGGAGTAACAAATCATCATCAGCGGAGTAACAAATCATCATCGTTAGTTTGCCGCCGCGCGCGCTTTACGGGGGCGCAAAACCATGCTGCCCCCCCCCCCCGGGGGTGGAGGCAGGTGCGCGCGCTTTCTCGCTCGCTCGCTCGCTGCCCCCAGTGCTTGCTTGCTCAGCTAGGAAGGCCTACTTGCTTGCTTGCTTGCTTACTACTTGCTCATCCCTCCCCCACCCCCCACCTACCCACGGGCAGCCGGATGCGGCGGCTGTGCGTGGGAGGCGCTTTTGCGCTGCTGGTTGTGCGGCGGCGGCGGCAGCGGCGTGGGCGGGTTCCTGAGTTGTTGCTGCTGCTGCTGCTGCTGCTGCTGCTGCTGCTGCTGCTGCTGCTGCTGCTGCTGCTGCTGCTGCCTGCTTGTCGTTGCGTTGCGTTGCGTTGTGGGGGCGGCTCCCGCTGGCTCCAAAAAAAGGGCTTCATCCCTTCCCCTCCATTGGTAAGCTGCTTATTTGCGGCCGGCAAGCAGGCGGGGCGTGTGTTTTGCGGGGGCAGCTTCTTGCTTGGGGGCGGGTTTGGGGGCTGATGTTGGGGGCGGTTTCCTCCTCAGTTGCTGCTGCCTGCCCGTTGGCGTTGCGTTGTGGCTCGCTCCCGCTCGGTCAAAAACGGGGGTCCCCTCAGCCGGCCTGCTTTTTGCGGCCGCCAAGCAAGCGGCGGTCAGCCGCGATCCAGCTTCAAGGCGGCTGCCGGCGTTGACTGCGTCGACTGCTTGCTTTTGGTGATTATCTGAACTGCCGTTACCAGATTCAGAGTCTGGGGTGATAACCACTACACTATGGAGCCGCTTGTGTCTGCAGGTCGGATGGACAGCCCCCCAACACCCGACAGGGCTTAGCGGGCGGAGTAACAAATCATCATCAGCGGAGTAACAAATCATCATCGTTAGTTTGCCGCCGCGCGCGCTTTACGGGGGCGCAAAACCATGCTGCCCCCCCCCCCCGGGGGTGGAGGCAGGTGCGCGCGCTTTCTCGCTCGCTCGCTCGCTGCCCCCAGTGCTTGCTTGCTCAGCTAGGAAGGCCTACTTGCTTGCTTGCTTGCTTACTACTTGCTCATCCCTCCCCCACCCCCCACCTACCCACGGGCAGCCGGATGCGGCGGCTGTGCGTGGGAGGCGCTTTTGCGCTGCTGGTTGTGCGGCGGCGGCGGCAGCGGCGTGGGCGGGTTCCTGAGTTGTTG